GTTGAGTCTGCCATCCACGAGCATGGAATGATTTCCATCTGTTTACATCCTCTGCTATTCCTTCCTCAGTGTTTCATGTTCTCCCTGTAGAGGTCTTTTACTCTTGGTTAAGTAAACTCCTAGGTACTTTAATTTCTTTGTTGCTATTGTGAGGGTATTGAGTCTTTAATTTGGTTCTCATTTGATTGTTGTTTGGCGTATACGAATGCCTCTGATTTCTGTGTATTGATTTTGTATCCTGAGACTTTACTAAATTCATTGATCAGTTCCAGGAGTTTCTTGGTTGAATCTTTGGGGTTTTCTAAATATAATATCATATCATCAGCAAACAGTGAAAGTTTGATCTCTTCTGCCCTATTTGGATACCTTAAAATTCACTTTCTTGTCTGATTGTATAGCCGGACTTCCAGCACATATGTTGAATAGAAGTGGAGATAGTGGCAGCTTGTCTGGTTCCAGTTCTAAGTGGGAATGCTTTAGTTTTCCCCATTCAGTATGAGTTGGCTATGGGTCTGTCATATATGGCTTGTATCATTTTTAGGTATGTCCCTTCTATGCCTATTTTCTTGAGTGTTCGTATCATGAAAGGGTGTTGAATTTTGTCAAAAGCTTTTTCTGCATCTATTGAAAGAATCATGTGGTCTTTGTTTTTGCTTCTGTTTATGTGGTGAATTGCAATTATTGATTTACGTATGTGAACCATCCTGCATCCCTGGATGAGCCACTTGGTCGTGATGGATTATTTTTGATAGCGTCTGATTCGGTTAGCTAAGATTTTGTTGAAAATTTTTGCGTTATATTCAGTAGGGATATTGGTCTGTAGTTTTCTTTTTTTTGCATCCTTTCCTGGTTTTGGTATCAGAGTATATTCACTTCATAAAGGTGTCGGGGAGGTTTCTTCTTCTCGATGTTTGTGGAATATTTTCTGCAAGATAGGTACTAGTTCTTCTTTGTAAGTGTGGTAAAATTCAGGTGTGAAGCCTTCGGGACCAGGACTTTTCTTTTTAGGGAGATTTTTAATTGCTGTTTCTATTTCAGCTGTTGAGATTGGTCTGTTCAGGGAATCTATTTCTTCCTGGTTGAGCCTCGGGGCTGTGTGTTTCTAGAAATTTGTCCATTTCTCTACATTTTCCAATTTGTGTGAATAAAGATTTTTGTAGTACTCATAAATTATATCTTGTATCTCTTTGGTATCGGTTGTGATATCTCCTTTTTTATTCCTGATGGAGCTTATTAGAGATTTCTCTTTTCTGCTTTTCGTTAGCTTAGCCAGTGGTGTGTCAATTTTTTCAAAGAACCAACCTTTTGTTTTGTTAATCTCCTGAATAGCTTCTCTGTTTCCAATTTCGTTTAGTTCTGATTTGATCTTGTTGATTTCACTTCTTCTGCTGGGTTTGGGGTTGTCTGTTCTTTCTTTTCCAGCTCTTTGAGTCGTTTCATTAGATTGTCTATTTGTGATCTTTTTGACTTTTGGTTGTAGGCATTTATGGAGATAAACTTTCCTCTCAGAACTGCTTTAGTTGTGTCCCAGAGGATTTGATAACTTGTTCTCCATTGTCATTTCTTCATAGAATTTTTTTATTTCCTCTTGATTTCTTCATTTATGAAGTAATTGTTTAGTAGGAGGTTGTTTAATTTCCACATTTTTGTGTAGGAATGTCAGTTTCTGTTATGGTTGATTTCTACTTTTATTCCACTGTGATCTGAGAAGATATATGGTATGATTTCTATTTTTTTAAATTTCTTGAGGTTTACTTTGTGTCCTAGGATATGGTCAATCTTAGAGAATGTCCCGTGTGCTGATGAGAAGAACACATATTGAGTGGATTTTGGGTAGAATGTTCTGTAAATGTCAGTCAGACCCAATTGTTCTAGAGTTTTGTTTAAGTCCATTATTTCTTTATTAATTTTCTGTTTGGAGGATCGGTCTTGGGCCATCAGTGGGGTGTTGAAATCTCCGGTGATTATGGAGTTGCTATTAATCCATTTGCTTAGCTCCAGTAAGGTTTCCTTTGTGAATCTGGGTGCACCAAAGTTGGGTGCATATATATTTAAAATTGTTATCTCTTCTTGTTGAACTGTGCCCTTCACCATTATATATGACCCTCTTTGTCTTTCACTACTTTTGTTGGTTTAAAAACTAAATTATCTGAAATTAGAACTGCCACACCAGCCCTCTTTTGGCTTCCATTTGCTAGGAATACTGATCTCCACCCTTTTATTTTTAGTCTAATTGCATCCTTGCAGGTTAGATGTGTTTCCCGAAGACAGCATATACTTGGCCTGTATTTTCTTATCCATTCAGCCAGCCTATGTCTCTTGATTGGAGAGTTTAAGCCATTCACATTTATTGAGAGAACTGATAGGTAAGGTAGATTACTGTTCATTCTGTTGGGTTGGATGTTGTTGCCATGATTTCTGTCTTGAGCCATAGTAATATCTGGCCTTTAATCTTTGGGTTTTGGTTGTTTTTATATTCGTGGGTTATCATTATGATGTTCCGTGCATAATGCTGTTTTGAGTACTTCTTGTAGGGCTGGTCTTGTCTTGGTGAATTCTCTGAGCTTTTGCTTGTCTGAGAATGTCTTTATTTCTCCTTCATATATGAAGCTTAGTTTTGCAGGGAATTAGATTCTAGGCTGGGCATTGTTTTGTTTCAGAAGAGTGAGAATGGGGCCCAGTCTCTCCTTGCTGTAAAGTCTCATTAGAGAAGTCTGGTGTTATTCAAATTGGCTTTCCCTTGTATGTTACTTGCTTCTTTCATCTTACAGCTCTTAGAAGGGCCTTTTTAGTTGATAGTTTGGTCAGTCTGATGACTGCATGTCGTGACGTCTTCCTGTTTGCATTGAATCTCCCAGGGGTCCTCTGAGCTTCTTGAACTTGTATATTGAGATTTTGAGCAAGACCTGGGAAAGTTTCCTCTATTATATCTTCAAATAGCTTGTCCAACCCATGAGTATTTTCTTCTTCCCTTCTGGTAACCCTATGACCTCACTTAGGTTTCTTCACATAATCCCACATCTCTTGTAGGCTTTGCTCTTTTCTCTTGTTTCTCTGCTCTATTTCTGTGACTGATTTATTTAATTGGAGGGTGTTATCTTCAATCTCTGAGATTTTTTCTTCTGTTTGATCTACCCTGTTCTTGAGACTTTCTACTGTATTTTGTAGTTCCCTGAATTGATTCTTCATTTCCAGGAGTTCGGTTAAACTTTTCTTCATTGTGTCTATTTCTTTAGTGAACTTTTTTCCAGATCCTGGAGGCTTTTTGTGGTTTCTTTGTGTTGGTATTGAGTTGTTGTTGCGGGTCGGTGAGTGTTCTTATGATCCACATACGAAATTCCTCTTCTGTCATTTTGGTTGCCTGATTTTGGTTGGTGCCATTTCTAGGGGCTGGGACTCCTCTTTGGGAGTGTGTTTTCCATTTGGTTCTTCATATTTCCTGAGTTCCTTCGCTGATTTCTTCCCATGTCGATCAGTTGTTGTTTCTTTTCTTTAGGTTTTTGTTTGAGTATTCACACCTTGTTTAGTTTCTGAGCTGGTAGGTGGTATCTGTGGGTGAGATTCGACCACTCCTTGTATAATGATTCAGTAGGTGTCGTTAATAGGGTGTGCAGGATGCTCTCCCTGTCAGTAGGTGGCGCTTGCTTGGAGGAACAGGCTATGGTGTTGTTTTTATGTCCTGTTATCAGCTCTTGTTCCTGTAGAGAGAACTCTAGTGCCTCAGGTGGTGGGTGGGGCCCTGGGACTTCCAGGTGTGTCTTTTTCTCCCTTTCAGTGAGGGCTAGTCTAGGAGAGAGTCTGGGTGGAGCTGAGTTGGGTAAACCTACCCTCAGGTACCACCAATGTCATTAGCAGGGGTCAAAGTTCTGTTCTCTGCTTCCAGGCAAAGCTGACAGGGAGGGGCTGGAATGGCCCGGCTCAGTCAGAAAGTCTGCGTGTGGGGGTGGGGCTGTCTGAGACTCACAGTCTGGAGTGGGCCTGGCTTCTTTCCACAGTCCCCAATTCCCCAGCTTCTCCTGGGCCTCTGCCAGCAGGCCAGACCGCATTCCACCAGGGCTCCCTGGACTGTGATGTCGGCGGCGGGGAGGTTCCCTGCCCAGGAACGCCACCTGGGCTGGGCGAATGGCCTCCCTTTGGTGGGAGGGTTGCCCTCTAGGACGCTGATCTGCCCCTGAAGGCACACACACCTCAGTAGGCTGTTCATAAATATCCCTTCTGTGCCCCAGGCAATGCGAGGCCTCAGTGCACAGGATGTGGTCTGCAGGTCTGACCTCTGGGTCCCAGAGTTCAAACTGTATTCCCACCAGGGAGAGGAGTGCCAGTCCCAATTCTCCCACAGGGAGCCCAAGCTGAGTCTGTGTCTCTCAGCCTCAGGGTCTGCCCCGTTCTCCTGGGATCACAGTGCCAGCAGCACCTGGGGGGGCTGGCGGGTAGGGAGCTCACAGTCTGAGTTTCCCTTAGTCAGCTGTAGGGCCCCAAAAGGGAAGGTCCTGTTCCCTGTAGGTGCCTCTGGCTGGTGGCTATATTGTCTCTCTGTCTCTCTGGGCAGCCGGGGTAGGGTCGGGGGAGGGGAGGAGCAGGCAATATGGCGTCTGCCGCGCGGCTTGGGTCTGTGCACACGGAGGTGCCCCGAGGGAGTTGGGAGCCTGGTGCTGCGTCCTCCGCTACTGGCTTACTGCTCACTGGCATTGGCCATCACTGGGCTGGTGTCCGCAGGTCTCTCCACTCACTGGGGAGCCCACCAGCAGTCCAGGATGCAGGGGAGGGGAAACGGCTGATACACCTACACTTCCTGCTGGTCTCCTGGGCTGCTCCCTGTGCTATGCAATTTTGATACTATTTTGAATTAGTATAACGATGAGTAGCAATTATAATTTTGATTTTATCTTTGAAATGTTATTCTTTTGGACATCCTTAGGATATTTATCTTATTATTAAAGGGTAATGATAGAAGAAAATACTGTTGAAATGATAAGTTTAATAATTAAAATATTTCCTAGTTTTCAGCTTACATGGAGAAGTTGTTGTGGAAGCCACCTATACATCCATATACAGAATTTATGGAGAAGCCTCCAGATAATGGAAGTCATTCAGAAGAATTCTTTTCCCATCTTAAATGTAGACTGGAGAAAAAAGATTTACCAGCTTGTGCCAGTGAAAGTCGTCTCATCTGGTATTCTCATCAATATCGGGAAATTTAATTTTCTGATTTCAGGGTTTCATGTTTTGTATATAATGTAAATTATTTGAAGCAAATATAGCATTATTTCAAGAATATCTCCTTCAAATCTAGTATTTATGAAAATATATTTAATCTAATTAAAAATGCACTCTTTTAGAAGAATTTAGCTAGTTTAATTTAGCTAGTTTTTTGAAATCTTAATGAAAGCACTTAAAAATGAAAATCTTAAGAATTTATAAAAAGTAAAGCTTTTAAACTAAGGTAAATGAAAATAGAAATAATGTGATATCAGAAATGTTGTTAAATGAGTACTAATTCACTGTCATTTGATATATTAATTACTATATAACTAATACTTATGATTAATTACTATATAACTAATACGTTTTACTGCTTTAGAGTAGGGAATACACTTATTATTTATATGACTCAACCCTCAGCCCCAGTGGCAATCTTAAAATACCTCTACTGGCACTATAGATAGTACAGTAGAGCTAATGGTTTAACTTGTTATAAATGAAAATTCGTAATCATTCTTGACTTTCTGACCATGTTTTTTAATAAGGGACAGGTGTCAAATTTATAGCCAGAATTTTTTTATGCCCATTACTTTAAGCCAGTGGTACTTAAGAACACAACCTACTTTTTGACGTAGCCTCTAAGATGCCATCAATTGTTAATGAGCCATTACATTATTTTTATAAAGAAGGAAAGCTGCCAATTAAAGAAAGTCACAGTGTTTTTGTATCACTTGGACTTTTATTTATAAATATTGAAAATGTGTCATCAAACTTAATTATAGATTTTTAATTCAAATAACTTGTGATTGTATAAAAGTAAAATGTAAGTGGAATAAATTAGTTAAGGTATTCTCAAAATTTGTTTATACACAAAGTCCAACTCTTTTGAGCCACGTTTTGACTCAAAGTTGTACTTTCTATTAAGAGTACAGTGTTGGTAATATGGCATATCTTAGGAACATCTTTAAATGAAATGAAGTTTTTTGGTTCTGGACTCTGAATGTTGCTAAACGTTCCTACTTTGCCAACTCCCTCAATCCCTCTTTGTAACCCTTTCTATAAATTTTGGGTATGTGCAAAGACAGGTCAAGACTGTTTCTTGGCTGACAAAGATTGTAAGAAGCACTCTGATTTCAGCATGAAAAAGGTGACAAAAATGTGTCTTACAATAATAGTAGTATTTAGGTAAAACATAATCAAGAAGGCAAGTATCAGTTTTGTTTAGAAGGATAATGTATTGTAAAGCTAAATGTGAAGGATATTTTAGATATAGAGAGAGCTTTAATTTTTTGTATTCCACTTGTTTAACTTATTCATACTGTTTTTGTGAAAAACAGTTTCAAGAAACGATTTTGGAATAAGGTCTAGAAAGGCAAATCTTTTGGGTTTGGAGGAGGGAACAGGAGGGGAGGAAAAAAGACATATATTCATTTACATAAATTGTTTCATAAACCAGAAAGGGGAAATTGAATAATTCACTTATACTTTATATGATATATTTAACTTAAATTTTATTTTTCCACTTGTAATTAGCCTGAAGCAGGACATTCTAAATGAAAAGAATGAATTAGAAGCAACACTTAAGGAAGCTGAGTTGGCAACTCATTCTGTAGGATTACTTTTGCCATTACTTAAGGATACTATTGAAGAGATTAGTTTTGAAAATGTGAGTATGTGACTTGTGAATATCTAATAAAATGAAAAGCTAGTATAATACTCAGAATGCATTAACTAAGGTTTCGTATCTTAAGTAGGTATGCTCACATACAGATATTTGATACCAATAATGGGGATTTATTAGTGTTTTTTATTCCTGTGTCATTAACTTTAATTCTTTTCCTAAAAGATAATCTCAGGCATGTATTCAATAAGAGGCCAAGCTAGAAACTGTTTGTCTTGATGTTTGACTTACCTGGAGTTAAATGAGAGTGAAATCTTCTGAGAGATGAAATATATTTATTTTCTATAGTATTAATTGGAATAGAAAACTATTTTTAAATTTTGGCATACTAAAGTTTGAGTTAGAGACAAAAAACAGATTACATTCTATAACTTTTATTAGAATAAATGCCTGAAATACTTTGAGTTTAAGCCCTTATTTTGATTTCATTTTACTTTGCTGTATTATATAACAAATCTAACTATTAATAAACTTTGCAAAATTTATTATGCATAAAAGAATTATTTTGTTACTAGTAAAAATTATTTGATAATAGTATTATATTTTAGAGTGTTATGCTTAATGCTAGATCTTAAAATGTGTATGTACTCTTATATTTTGTCAGGCTACTCTTTCTGCATCCAATTTGAAGAAGATTTCTGAACAGAAGGAAGTATTAACAAAAGAATTAGACACTTTTAAACATGTAAAATTGGCTTTAGAACATCTTCTTACAAAGACAGACTACAAACAAGTAAGGCATCAACACTAAGCATTCGTTTCATAGTGATATTTCTCACTTGAAGCATACATTATTTCTCAAACTGTAGAAATTAAAGTATTGGTATATTTGAAATTGAAATAATACTTTGATAAGGAACTCACTAAATTAACCCCTACTTTTAATATTTCATAAATAGTTCTACATGACAACAGCATGTTTTTAGAGAAAATGTATTTTTATTTTCCTTCTCTAAAACTTTCATTATTGTTATACTTCTTTCAGTATTGTTATACTTCAATACTTTCAGTATTGTTATACTTCTTTAACTGATTATAATAAAATATACATTTTTAGAGTTTAAGCTCCTATGTACATTATATTTATATTTACCTATATATTTTTTTGGTAACAGCTTTTTTGAGATATAATTCATCTACCATACATTTCTCCTACTTAATAAAATTCAGTTTGTTTTTTTTTAGTGTATTCACAGAATTGTGTAGCAATTGCCACACTCAATTTTAGGGCATTTTCATCACTCCAAAAATAACCCCTATGCCCTTTAGCAGTTCACTTGCCCTCACACCCACTCCTACTCACAGGAGCCCTAGGCAACCATTATCTCTGTTCTGTCTGTATGGTGATTATCTTATACAAATGAAATCATATGACATGTGGTTTTTCGGGACTGCCTTCTTTCACTCAGGATAATATCTTCAGGGTTCATCCATGTTGTAGCATGTCAGTACTTCATTCTTTTTTATTGCTGAGTAATATTCCATTGTATGAGTATACCACTTTAATTCATTCATCAGCTGATGAACATTTGCGTTGTTTCCACTTTTTGGCTGCTATGAATAATGCTTCTGTGAACATTCATTTACAAAGTTGAGATGTAGGTACATGTTTTCATTTCTCCTGGATATATACCCAGGAGTGGAATTGCTTGACATACATGTATTTTTTATACATACACATAAATATATATAATTTCCCTTTGATCTAGGATAGGGTTTCCTTTTGATTTAGGACAGTACTTGACCACTTTTTTTCTTAACTCTACACACCTTTATACTGCTCACATGCATAATACAATTTTAGCCCATCGCATCAAACGTAGGGAGAGTGGGAGCAAGATGAGAGGATGTCACCTCATTCATTATTGGGAAAACCTGACAATTGAAGCGTAACTTTATAGACACATGGTCAGGCATGGTATAATTGTAAGTTAAAAATATTTAAAAGAATAAACTAGTAGTATTTTTGTTCTCTACTACTATTTCTCATTTGTAGGGTAAAGAAATTATATAAGACCAAGATTTTAAACCTGATAAAATCCTTTAATTCTTAACTAGGGTCTGTGAATCTTGTGAAATTTTATGTAAACTATTGTGTGCATTGATTGGAGACAAGAACTCTACATCAATAATTTTTATTTCTTTGTGTTTATTACTTCTTTTGAGTCTTAGGACAAATATAGTTGAAGAAATTAACTTCTGTGATAGGCTGAAAAATCTTGAGCTAATGACAAAAATCAACTAAATTCTTCTGAATTCATTTTGGCTTTTTGCTATGATGACATTTTCTCAGAATTGTAAAAATCATCTAATATTAGATAACAGTTTTGGTAATAAGTTACATGCTTATTATAGACAAATCAGATAAGCAAAGAAATATTAATAATTTTCCTGATCTCAGTAGTCAGTGAAAAGTCACTATCAAGTGTTAATTTTGTGTTGTATATCTTTTTCAGTCTTGTGTTCCATTACTGTGTATGTGTTATGTATGTGCGGGTTTAGAAAAATGGGATCATACTATTCTCATTGTTTTGTAACTTGACTTTTATACTTACAAACGTATCATCAGTATTTTCTCATATAGTATTTGAAATATGTAGTATATGAAATAGTTTTTTCATAGGAAGGAATTTTTTTTTTCTAATTTTTTTTTTTTTTTTTTGAGACAGAGTCTCGCTTTGGTCCCCAGGCTAAAGTGAGTGCCATGGCATCAGCCTAGCTCACAGCAACCTCAAACTCCTGGGCTCAAGCAATCCTGCTGCCTCAGCCTCCCTAGTAGCTGGGACTACAGGCATGCATCCCCATGCCTGACTAATTTTTTCTATATATATTAGTTGGCCAATTAATTTCTTTCTATTTATAGTAGAGATGGGGTCTCGCTCTTGCTCAGGCTGGTCTCGAACTCCTGACCTCGAGCAATCCTCCCACCTCAGCCTCCCAGAGTGCTAGGATTACAGGCGTGAGCCACCATGGCTGGCCCATAGGGAGGAATTGTAACTTGAGCTTGGTAGACTCTTACAGAGTCCAGGGATGGACTGCATGAAGTCTGAGCCCTGTGAAATTGTATGTCCAAGTCTGCATTATATGTACATGCATATGTGCTTTGTGGGTGAAAGGAATTTATAGCTTTTCACATGCTAATGCAGGAGTATGACCCTCAAAAATGAATAAACATTATGGTCTCATTTAAAATGGCTACATAGAATTCTGTTATTGATTTGCTGTAATTCTTTAAGAAATTTCTTATTGCTAGAATTTAGGTTTATAATTCTTGCCTATTTATACACAGCAATATGTTGAGTTTCTTTTGTCCACAGAATTTTTGCGATTTTTATATATTGACCTATACTTTCTGAGGCATTCTTTTGAAATTAATTTAGTAAATTAATTAATTTCATAAATTTTGGCCAAAAAATGATTTGGAACACGTATGCAAAAATCTTTTCAATGGTTAACTCTTTTAAAAATCAGAAGTGTGCATAGTAGTTGTCCATATTGATTTCTTGAGTGGTGTTTATTCCACCTTCTACATTTTCATGTAGAGAAATATAGTTGGTATATACTGATTTATAATATCTTTTTTTCACAGACAGGAGACAATTTACCTAGCATGTTGTTAAAGAATTTAACTGATGATGAAAGTGAAAATACTGTAAGTCTTTTTTAATTGCTTTGTGTCCATTCTTTCCACCATTTTTTGTTTACTTGTGTGCTGCATTGTTTTTAAAAATTAACCAATATTAACCAAGTTATGAAATTTCTAAATCTTACATTATATTAGCTGAAGAATCTTAAGAAGAAGGTACTTGAGAAGGAGACCTATATCCAAGAACTTTCTTGTTTGTTTCAGAATGAAAAGGTAAGCAAATTTTGAGCTTTTGAGCTTAATTCATTATATTTTCTTAATTTTGACTCCCTCTTCCCTTTCTTCCCATCCTGGCCCCAAGTCCTTAGAAATAAACACAGAAAGGTTTTAAAAATTCTAGATTATTTGGATATTTTACAAGTTTTATGTATCAAATATAACATCTTAATTTTATTAAGTTTTTTTTTTTTAGTTTTATGTTTCATTTAGTAAATCACTCTAAATTAGGAACACTTAATGAATTTGTGTTTTATTTCAATTTGGGGACAAATTAAGGAATTTTGGCATTTTAGGAGCATTTTATACACACCCATAATTTTACTTAGGGGGATAGATGGGAATTTTTAAAAAGAGATAATTAGCAGGAGCCATTAAATGAAAGGGTGGGAGGAGAAAACTTCCCCCTAGTTTTACATGAAAAGCATCTGTAATGAGGGGGCAGTTTATGTAAAGCAGTGCTTTGCTCTTTATCAACATTTGAGATCGTCTAAATTGGGGTAAAATTTAAGTTATTGGGGAGATACAGCAAATAACACATTTTTTTCTCTTTGTTACAGGCAAATGCTTTGAAAGCAAACCGTTTTTCTCAATCAGTAAAAGTAGTACATGAACGACTACAGCTCCAAATTCATAAAAAGGAAGCAGAGAATGATAAATTAAAAGAATACATAAAGGTTGTAAATATTTATCCATTTTTATAGTTTAAATGATAAAATTAATGAAAAGCTATAAGGCCATTCCTTAATTCTGGTATTTGCTGGTTTTAAAGTAATTCATTTTAAGTGTTGCCATGGGAAATACATATTTAAAGGTAAATCTTTTCACCTGCCTAAAATTGGAATTTGAACCCAATTTTATATTGGTACTAAAATCTCTTTCTTTTTTTTTTTGAGACAGAGTCTCACTTTGTTGCCCAGGCTAGAGTTGAGTGCTGGCATCAGCCTAGCTCACAGCAACCTCAAACTCCTGGGCTCAAGCAATCCTACTACCTCAGCCTCCCAAATAGCTGGGACTACAGGCATGCACCACCATGCCTGGCTCATTTTATATATATATATTAGTTGGCCAATTAATTTCTTTCTATTTATAGTAGAGACGGGTCTCGCTCTTGTTCAGAATGGTTTCAAACTCCTGACCTCGAGCAATCCGCCCGCCTTGGCCTCCCAGAGTGCTAGGATTACAGGCATGAGCCCCTGCGCCCGGCCTAAAATCTCTTTTTAGTACTAATCTAGGAAGGATTTATAGTGATTGAATAACATTCCCACACGTTTTAAACAGTCAATAAATGTTTTTCTTTGTTACTAATCATAATAATTTTAAAATCAGTTAATCTAGATTTTAATGTTCAGAAAACAGTAATCCCTATGTTATACAACTCTGTATCAGTATAATTAAGGGATACTTTTTGGTTTAATTATTCTTTTGGAGTCAAAGTTACTTTGAGATGAGGTGAGATTTCGATCCTATAACACTAGCTAACTGGACCTACTGTCATTTTTTTTTTTTTTTGCCAAAGGAAAAGAAGCAGTATTCTCACCTTCAGAGAAGTGTATACAGACTTAAACACCACTGAGTATGAGGACTTCTGAGTTAGATTTTTGTTTGCTTTTGCACTCCTGAATTATAGTAGACATTTGCTAGTTGTAGCACATGTTTCAAAACTGCGCTTGTGGGTTTTTTTTCCTTCAGTGACAAAAAACTTTTGCCCATCAAGAGGACATTAGCAAGTTTATGGAGGATGTAAATTTTGTCCTTTGTTCCTCTTTCAAGTTCTCTTAAGTGTTTTCCAATGCCTAGATTCCCTGTGTGTTCATATCCTAGGGCACTATATAGATGAGCTGGATTTGGTATTGCAGTGCTCTGTCATAGTAGATACAAGAGAATGCATATGATTTAACACATTAGATGATCATCTACCACAATTTATTTTACAGTTTTTTAATTATGTCCTCAAATGAGAGTGGGGAAAGTTTTTGAAAATATTTTCTTCCATTTAAAAACAAATATTAAATAGTTTTTTAAAGGTAAGTTTAAGTTATTTTTTATATCTATGATAATTTGGAAAAGGAATATAAGGCTAAAACTGAGATTTTGCTATGAAATTCTTCTGTTTAATATTTTTGAGTTCAAATTCCTTTTCAAAAATGCAAGTGTTAAATAATTAAAAGAAGCTGCCTTATGTTACTGATTTTCCTACATTTCCTCTCCCACACTTTTGGATTTTAAGGTATTAAATAATTGGGGGTCAGACTTTAGTTCTTTTACTTAGATTTGACAAGTTTTGTTTTGTTTTGTTTTTTTTTAGTGTACAAACACAATGAACTGAGTTTGGCAAATTTTTTACTGTTGTTGAGCCAGTTCAGTATATTGGATCTTTTAAAAATTTACATTTAAGCCTCTGAGAGCTCTCTTAAAGATACTTTGAACCAAATTTTATTCCTAGATCTTTGTAACAATTAGAATTACAACATTTGCATATTTTTAGAAGAGACAGAATAATTATCTATATAATTTGCAACTTGTATATAGTTCTTTGGAAATAGAAATCGCAAATTACCAACTTTATGTGTCTATACTTTTGGCAAATGAGTGAGAGATTTTTTATTTTGAAACTATAAAAATAATTTGATAGTTTTAGTACACTCCTTGATAGTGCTTATACATGGAATTTGATAAATCTAGTGAGAAAGTCTTGCCTGGAACCATACTGCAAAAAAATTTACCTCACATTTCATGTTAAAAGGTTTTTGCTTAAGTGTAGCAGCTATTCATGGTGCAATGATGACACCCTGTGGATAGTTAGAAGAATGGCAGTGGTATTTCTTGCGGGGTGTTCCTCTCTCGTATCTAGAATTACTGTATGGCTCTTTGTTTTTCTACAGCTATTTATTACATTTCATAGGATTATTTTTTAGTTTAAGATATATTTTTAAAGACAATTTAAAAATGTGTTGCTTCTTAGTTTACTTAGTCACTCTTCAAAGCGTTCAAGTTCAAGATGTACTTCTTAATTTTCAATTTTAGTGGAAGAAGCATAGTTTTTGTTGATTCTGGAGTTTAAAAGCCCCAGATTTTACTGTGACTCCTTTGAAAAATTTTTTTAAATTAAAATGGCTAAGGAATGGAAGACCAAACTATATTCTGTAATAATTTTACATTCTTTTCAATATTACAGAGCTTTCAAAATGTAAAGGCATTGAAATCTTGTCTTTAAATTCTTAGATACTTAATACTCAAATACTTTAAATACAACATTTTAAAATAATTTGAAATAAAAATATGAGAGTTAATCACATCCTTCATTCACCCAGCCTAATATTCTCTCTCTCACTCTCTCTCTCTCTCTCTCTCTCTCTCTCTCATATATTCCCAAGAGATGTATCAAGGAGATGGTCATGTTAACACCATCACATGCAATTGATAGAAGCCTGTCCTCAAACATCTTTTTATCCTCCTTAATCTTGTGAATCTCATAGTCATTAATTTATCTAAACCAGTGTTTGGTCTTAGAATAATGACTTTCACAAATTTAACACTCACTGGGTAAAGCAGTACTTTTATTGTCTTTAATGTAACTTTTTCTAGTGTCAGGGCATGCCCCCTAATGCTAGTAAATTAAAATTTGGTAAATAAATCTATGTTTATCTCATCTATACCCTTCATGACCTGTAGATTTTAATCATATCTTTTTTAAGCCTTTATCTTTCAAATTAAAAAGTCCTAATATATTTGTGGAGCTGCCAATACCTTTGAACTTTGGTAACTGTTATTAAATATTTGCATTGTTTCTACCTTAATTATGTTTTTTTAACTAGTTTTTTTAAGCTAGTACTATGTGTAGTATTCTAGATGTGCACTAAATCTAGTTAATTCTAGTTAATCTGTGAACGAATTCTAATATTCTAGTTAATCATAGAAGTTTTAAGGAACTTAGTGTTTGTGCCATAATCACCAATTTTATTATCTTTAGTAATGGTAGCATTAGTTTGATGTAAACTTATATGTTTTAAATTTGCATTCTTTAACTGGTTACTAAGGAGCATTGGTGAAGTCATCTTTCTTTACTGTTTTGCTTTTTATTCATCTTATGATTTATAATTTTGCTAAGATCTGGAAGATTATGTACATATTTTACAATGTTTACATAGACATTGGAGTTCTGAAATAATTTAATTGTTGCTAATATTTTTTAGAGCTTAGAATCCAAGATAGCCAAATGGAACTTGCAGTTGAGAATGAATAAGCAGGAGGCTGTGGCGATGAAGGAAGCAAGTAGGCAAAAAGCTGTAGCTCTAAAAAAGGCATCTAAAATTTATAAACAAAGGCTTGAACATTTTACAGGAGATATTGAAAACTTTACTTCCCAAATTAGAGATCAGGTAAGTATATACATTCTTTTTTATAAAGATACATTTTATGTACTTAGTTTATGTAGTTAATATCATAATGCTTAATGTGGTAAATTTATTCTTTTAATGCTATTGATACCAGAAAAACTTTACTTATACTTTTTGCATTAATCTTTCCTTTTGAAATGTTACATAAAGTGTCAAATTTGCATATTGAATTATGTCAGTATTTTCTTGGGAATTGTACTTAAAGGAAATGTGAAGTGTGTTCCCTCTACCCATTCCCCGCACACCACATAAAGCTTCTATGGCCAACTAACTGAGAATAACACTTCATATATATTTCCCCTTAGAAATTTATAGTACACATTAGCATATTAAAGGCCCTGAAAAGGCTTTCAGCAAAACACTGTTAATGAAGGGTATTGAACTCAGAGTTTTCTGCACTTATTTTACCACAGAACTCTTTTTTACACACAGAGCAACTCTTGGAACTTGTTCTGAGGAACACCAGTTTGGGAAATGCTGATGTTGTTAGACCATATGACTTTATCATGTTGTTAGACCACATGACTTTAATCTCTGTAATGCATTTAAAACCATATGTTGCATAAATACACCACGCGAAAGTTATCTTTGGATATAGTACAAAGTTGAAAAATGGATTTAGTGTTTTGTTTTTGACAAATTGTTATATTTGTTCAATTATGAATTAATAATTCTTTTTGATATCTCACTAGTATCCCACCTTTTAAGACTTATGTGAAGGCTTATAGAGTTATTAGAGACTTTTAGAAATGGAAACACTTATATAAAACCTTGTGCAAACAAAACAATATTTTATAAGCTCAAGTGTTAACATTCTAGGGCTCTAATATTTAATCTACATTTGGAAGAATTTAACTAGATCAAAGCATTGAAGATTAGGTTCAAAGTTTAGAAGATTATAGGCCTGGTTGAATGCCTGAAAATATTTTTGAGTTATAAAAACTAATTGAGTCATTAACATTCTGGGGGTTTTCCTATTTAAATAGTATCATCCACACCCCAGATCATAGTATAGAAAGGCTTCTCTTCTTGTTAACCTTGTGATTTTGGATAAGGAACTTAACCTAAACTTCAATTTTCTTCTCTATAAAATAAGAGGTAGTAATACTCCCTATCTCATATGATTGTATGGAGGGATAAATGAGAAAATACATGGTAAGCACAGTGCCATACTACACATTTTTGCACTGTCCTCCTTTCTATTCTTCTAATGCATGGAGTTCGTTTGTTTGCTGCTGCCTCTGGCTTTAATGTTCTCCCTGGCTCACAATAGCTGGTTCTTTTTTTTTAATCATTTAGGTGTCTTCTTTTGACATCTCTTTAGAGAGGCCTTTCTTTCTTTTTTTTTTTTGTGACAGAGTCTCATTTTGTTGCCCAGGCTAGAGTGAGTGCCATGGCATCAGCCTAGCTCATAGCAACCTCAAACTCCTGGGCTCAAGCAATCCTGCTGCCTCAGCCTCCCAAGTAGCTGGGACTACAGGTATGCACCACCATGCCCAGCTAAATTTTTCTCTATATATTAGTTAGCCAATTAATTTCTTTCTATTTATAGTAGAGACGGGGTCTCGCTCTTGCTCAGGCTGGTTTCGAACTCCTGACCTGGAGCAATCCTCCGCCTCGGCCTCCCAGAGTACTAGGATTACAGGCGTGAGCCACTGTGCCCGGCCAAGAGAGGCCTTTCTTGATCACTCCTTTTAAAGTAGTCTTATAGCAGTCATATTACAGTCTTAAATTCTTTTCATAGCATTTATTATAATTTGAAACTATCTTTTTTAGTTTGCTTTTTTGTTTGTTTGTTTCCCTCTACTTGTAGAATGTAAGCCCCAGGAGGCAGGAGCTTGCTTATCCCATTCACCTAAGGGCATCGTAATTTAAAAAAAAATATCTTAAGTCCAAGATACAAATAGTTTAGTAACAGGAGCTAAATAATAGTTTGATAAAATATCACCTCATGTTGATACAATGCCTGAAATTTACCAGGTATTACGCAGAGATAAGGAAAATGAGGATTTGAAAGGATCCATGGTCTTTGGTAATTAGAAGGTCACTAGTTACTAGTTCAGGTATAGTTCAGTGCAGTGGAAGGATGAAGGAGGAAAGATGGAAAGATGGAAGGAGGCTTTTGCTTTATATCTGCATGTTTCTAAGGACAGATAAAAGAAGAAATCAGGATTTTGAGAGTGGTAGGGACAACTGATTCTGACATTTAGAGCCTAGGGGCTAGGATGTTAAATGCCTTATTATTCTCGACACTGAAGAATTATCCCATTTCCTTTGAAAATTGGACAGATCCTAATTTTGCTTCTGATAGCTTAGATGTGCCATATCTTTAAAGCAGAGAGAAAAAGTAGGTCACCCTCAAAAAGTCTCCTTTAGGGAGGTGACTTAATCATTGACTAGTTTCTACATCTAGGATATCATACTAATTAATTAGGTAATAATTTCATCTCTAATGTGTAAGTTTCTTTTTTATTGGTAAAATTTCTAAATATCTTTGTACTATAAATATAAATTCACATTTCATAATATATTATGCACAACTTATACTTTATAATTTATATTAAAATTCATATTACATAAAATGAAAACAGAATCCCATTATTTCTTCAGTGTATCAAAAATATTACTGTGAAAAAAAATTTTTAAATGTCTTACATGTAGTAGATGCTTGATAAATACTTGTTCAGTGATTGGATGAAAGACAAAAGAAGGAAGTACCCAATAAATGTTAAATGTCATCATTACTGTTTTGGGCATTTTGATTTGTAATTACTGGCACTGTTGCATTCCAGTGAGTTTGTTTTTCTGTAGAACGTAGACAGGGACACAGTGTCTACAGCTCTTTAGGTGGATCAATGGAGAGCCATTTGAGTTATATAGTGTCTGCTGTGCTCCAGGAACTATTCAAGGCCCTAAAAATACAGCTACGAACAAAACAGGCAAAAATCCATATCTCATGGAGCTCACATTCAAAACGAATGAGCCACTACTGCCACTTTTGTCTGTTTGCTGACAGTAGCAGTGTTTGAAGGCTGATGGGGTGATCTCTACAAAACAGAGCTTGTCATCATTATAACAAAGAAAAATAAGGCTGCATTACTTAATGTTACAGAGTTGCAGAATTGGGGGCAGTTTCTATGTATACTATAGAGGGCTTCTTTATCCTTTGATGCTTATGTGGTTGTTATCATCTTTTATATGTAGAATGCAAAATTAAAAGCTCAGTGAAAAGGAAAATTATCTTCATTAATTATGAAATATTTAAAATGTTAAGTTGGAACTTCCACTGTGTACATATAAAATAATAGCAATATAGGTATTTCATTAAAGTTTACTTTAAAGTTTTCCTATATCCAAAATTGTACACTGAAATTTTCCGTATTAAAAATTCCATACTTTTTTAGAAGAATGTTTCCTTGTTTATAATGTATTTGTGTTTGGGGATCTGAGCAAAACAAAAATGTCTTAAAATTACAAGATGAGTACTTTATGTATTTTTTAGGAAGCCAAATTGTCTGAAACAATTTCAGCTTCCAATGCCTGGAAAAGTCGTTATGAGGAAATTGTAATAGAAAAAACTGAATTGGAAGTTCAGATCGAAACAATGAAAAAGTAAGAAAAAAATTTAAGATCTTTTTACTATTTAATAAGATGTGTTTTTAGTTTTTTTCCTCTTCGAGTGGTTATTTTGATTCTTTGGATTATATGTGGTAAAGGGGCTATTTATATGATTTGATATTTTTGCTATTTAGAATTCTATAAGCTTTTCTTACTCTGCTATAAAAAACACCAAAAATGATTGCTCATTAAAAATGCATTGGTTTCACATTTTGAAATCGTAGGTTAGTATTTGGTATTTGAGTATGTGTCATCTGTTATTTTCAGTAAATGTTAATACTACCTTTGTCTTAAATGGAAGTGATATTTCTCTTTTAAACAAGAATATTTAAGAAAGAACATATAACAAAGTTTATACTAGAATACACAAATGATTTGAAATTCCTAAGTTATTGTTCCTTAACGAAATAGACTTAAATGCATAACAAAGACAATCAAGAGTAAATATACTTACATTTTATGCTTTGAAGTGTATTACTGATAACCGAATAATAATGAACCCTGAATATTTGATTTTAAATGTTTTCTTTTTTATATATTCTCTTCAGAGAATATTGAAAACTACTACATATAATTGTTGAAAACTACTACCTATAATTTGCTTTAAAGGTTAGTTGTTATTGCCTCAGTTGATCCCTTTTCTTTAACCTGTCCCTAAAATTTTGTGTATCTGTGTGTGCGAATGAGAAAGACATGCATACCTTTAGAGGTTTTATTGAATAGTAAAGAGCATGTTGTAGAATTTTTCATTGATATTATTAATATTTCCAATCAGGTTTACTCTGGTGGTAACCTTATAGATTACTTCTTCCTATTTCCCTTGTTCTTTAAGTTGTATTTACTTTTTGTATGTTGTATATTTGAAACATCCTACCAAAGTGATTTCAGAAACACACTTAAAATGTATCATTTTATAAAGGCAAATCACTAATCTTTTGGAAGATCTGAAGAAAATGGAAGACCTTGGAAAAAATTCATGTGAAGAAATTTGTAGAAAACTTCACTCAATTGAATATGAAAATGAAATTCTAAATCTTGAGAATACAAAATTAAAGGTACTTGTATGTGTGTGTTTGTACAGATGTGTATTGTATAATGACAGCTTTGTCTACTTGGTAGAAGTAGCTTGAAGAAACTATATGTTTAGTGCTCTTGTATCATTTTGTCCTTTTTGCTTCTTAGGATATTATGTTTTCTACACTACAAATAAGATTTATGAAGTTGACTTTTTCTTTGCCTCAACTTAAAAAAAAGTGATTTATTATCCAATTTTAGCAGTTAAGTGAATATTCCAAAATTACATTAACTTTAATGCATAGGATTATTTCTAGGTGTCATGGTTACGATAGGATATAACCTCAGGCTTGGTCTGTTTGAAACCAGAAAGTATGTTCTTGGCTGCTTCATAACCAGAAAGAATTTTCCAACTTAGTCAAATCCAAGGAATGATTGGTTTGCATGTGTACCAAAGAAGAGGTAGGGAAGAAGCTTTTATACTTTCTGAGAAAAAAGATATTCGAGTTCTTAATCAACCAGAGATACATGTAACAGATGAGACTTCACTAAAGATGATGGCATCATTTTCAGTTCCAGTAATACTGCTTTTGGAGGATGGAAAATGGAAGACAGAAAAAAATCTTTTTAAACCATGAAATAAAGTTTGTACAGAATAAATAACAATATATTAGTAACATAATATCAGTAGCATAAAGTACAGTTTAGAGAAACTTGTAAAATCAGTTTCTAACATTGTTTTGTTTTATAAAAGTTCAATTTTATCACTGTATTTAGGATTAACTAAAAGATGTACATTTATTCTACATATTAAGATGTTTTTATTATAGCTAATTTGCATGGTACTTGAAAGAAAATATCTTTAATGATAAGAGAGAAATTCTAAGACTTCTATGTTTTTTTTAAAGTTTTTTTTGCATTAGAAATGTACTTTGTTTCTTTTTCTTGGAAAAATTATTATAAATTACTGGCTGTTTAGAATTATGTAGACTTATGTAAAGATTGTCATGGACTGTTTTTTAAATTTATTTATGAGAAAGAATATACAAAATTTAAGAAATTATTGAAGAAAATAATTTTAATAAAATGATAGCATTTCAAGATTTAAGGTAGTAAATTGTTATTTAAAAAGATTATTTTCCAGAAGGAAATTGGAGATACATCCAGATCCCGTTTACCCTTTCTAAACTCTTCTTTCTCTATAACTCTAAAATGTCATGTACTGTAAAGAGAATTTTATCCATTGTAGGTTGGCATATTTTCCCAGGGGCCAATTTATTTTCTAGGTACTGATCTGTCTTTGTGGGAGATACATAGTGTTATGCAGTATAGTGTATAGTAATTAAAGCTTGCTTGCTATATAAAACAAAAAGGCAACAGATTGCCCAAGCCAGAAAGATTTTTTTCCTCTGTTGGTTTATAAAGTTGGTAATTTTTCTCACTTGGTGTTCAGTCTTAGTTTCCTTTAGATCACTGGGTGAGGCATGAACTGATAAATCTCAAGTCTGTTTTTGTTTCAAATGTGAACATTCCATTAGTTTGAAGTGGAGGACTTGAAATTGACAGTCCTATTGCCATTGGTCATTTAGGAATGAGTAGGGGAAATGGCAGGAATCTAAGTGAAATATATGGCAAGAAGTAGCAGGGTCTTTCTTTTCTCACCTTTAACTTGTTTATTAATAATAATATAATAATTTTGCTACTTCTTGTCAGGAAAGATTTTAAAAATCAAAATTACAATTTGTCTTAATAGTTGCCATTTAGCAGTGACATTCAGAATTAGAGTTTTTTCCTTCAAGAAATTTTGTAAATCCTTTGTAGTACTTCATACAATATGAACTTATGGTGCTTTTTTTTCTTTCTTTTTGAAAATTTCAATAGATTTATGGGATACAAGTGTTTTTTGTTACATGGATGAATTGTGTAATGTTGAAGTCAGGGCTTTTAGTGTACCTGTCACCATAATAGTGTACATTGTACCTAGTAGGTAATTTTTTTATTCCTCCCCCCCCCAGGAACCCACCTTCTTTCTTTCCAATGTTCATTATACCACTTTGTGACCATATATACCCATTGTTTAATTCCCACTTATAAGTGAGAACATGTGGTATTTGTTTTTCTATTCCTAAATTACTTCTTGTAGGATAATGGTTTCCATTTCCACCTAAGTTGTTCCAAAAGACATTTATTTCATTCTTTTTTTATGGCTGAGTAGTACTCCATGTTCTTTATCCACTCATCATTTGATGGGCACTTAGGTTGATTTCCTATCTTTGCATTTTGAATTATGCTGTGATAAACATTCAGATGCAGGTGTCTTTTTGATATAATGACTTCTTTTCTTTTGGGTAGATACCAAGTAGTAGTATTGCTGGATCAAATAAGTCTACTGTTAGTTCTTTCAGGAATCTCCATACTGTTTCCCATTGAGGTTGCACTAATTTACAATGCCACCAGCAGCGTATAAGCATTCCCTTTTCACTGCATCTGTGCCAGCATCTATTGCTTTTTGACTTATGATTAATGGCCATTCTGACAGGGGTAAGGTGGTAAGTGCTCTTTTTATAGAGGTACAGTAATGACTATTATAATTGTTCTTTCACTACACAATCAAGTAATACATTTACAACTTTTTTCTTGTCCAGCTTTTTAATTTTTTCCAGAGTTTCCAAATAGCCTTCTTATTATACTCTGTCCTTATCATAGCCTTGTTTTTTTTTCTTGAAACTCTCATCGTATTTCTATTCTCTGAAGAACCTGTTTTCCCCAGATTTCTTCTACTTGAGGCCCTCTGTCTTCCTGTTTGAATCTGAACAGGTTGTTCTCTAGGCCTGCTGCCCAGATGCCATACTGGAACTTCCTTTGGGTGCTATCCTCGTTCTACTGTTTCCTGGATCCCACATTGTCTTTCTTATTCCTCATTTTGCTGGAATATATCTTCAAATAATCTTCCCTTAAAAAAGAAAAAAGAAAAAATGGGAAGTAAACATTAAAAGGTCTTAATCTACAAATACCTTTATTCTGCCCTCATTTTGATTGATGCTTTTAGCATCCTAGATTGAAAGTGATTTTCACTCAGAACTTTGAAGGCTTTGCTCCATTGTCTTCTAGCAGTCTGAGCTGCTGTTAGAGAAAATCTGTTGCCTGTTTGTTTCTTATTACTCTGTGAAATTTTTTAAATTTATCTTGAAATTTTCGAGAGATTCCCTTTATCTTTGGTGTTTTGAAATTTCACACATGTGTGGGTCTCTTCTCGATGGTGCTGAGGACTCTGTAGACACTGTGAATCCAAATTCTCATGTCCTTTTCCTTTTGAAAATTCTCTTGCATTATTTCTTTGGCAAAGCTCTTTCCCTGACACTTTCCATTTTCTCTTATCTGGGTGTACTACTAATTGTTGATTTGTAGATCTCTTGGATTAATACTTTGTCTTCAATCTCTGGCTTTTATTAAATCTTTTGGAGATTTCCTTGGTAATCTTCTAATCTTTCTTTTAAATTTTTAATTTCCAGGAATATTTTAGTGTTTTCTGAATGTTCCTATCATCAAATATCTGAAGAAACCTGTAAGAATTGTTTTTTCAATTTTTTTTTTCAGTTTTCCAATGTATTTGTTTCTTCTTGGTTCATGTTTTCTTTACTTTTTTTTTTAAATTGAAAAAAAATGGATCTTTCTCTTTCATGTTGCTATCTTTCCCTAAGCTCTAGTGGTGACATTTAAGAATTTACAATTGAAACAATAGAAAAACCAGTGAGACAACAGAAAACCAATCTGGTTATGTGAATGGTTCTTCTTACTTGATTGGTTTCACTTTACTTCACCTTCCTCAGCTATTGAGAAACTAGCAATTTACCTGGCCCCTAAAAAAGTACCAAAACATATGCATCTTTGCTCTGGGTCACCAACACCATCCCTCTGTTCTAGTTTTCCCCACACAGGTAATTCAGTGTCTTTAGAGAAGAACCTTCCCTTTTTTGTTTCCTGGGAGGTAAACTCCTAATTCAGGTGTTCTGCTTTGAGTGTGTCAGAGGGGAGTGGGAGGGCAGTGGTGGTCAGCTGTTCTTTTCACAGGGTTTGAGTTAATCCTTTTCAACCTCAGTTTGTCACTCTCACCCTCAGCCCTGCGCCTCTCTGGATTCTGCACTTCCTCTCTGGATTCTGAACTTCCTCCTTAGCTGAATCCATTACTGCTTCACTAATCAGTCATCAGTTGTCCAGAAGCATTAAATATTTTGTCTTTTGATGGCCCCTGGTCTGTTCTCTTTATTAAGTGGACTTATAAACATTTTTATTCCTTTATATTAGTTTGGTCTTCAGAAGGAAGAGAGATAAACAAATGTGGTTAGTCCTCCAACAGAAGGTGCTTTAATTTTATTTAAACCTAGGAAGTTTTCTCTGATTAAGCATGTGACTAACCTTTCCCCCATTTTTTACTCTGTTTTATTCTTTATATGGTTTACATGTAGAAGTTTATTGTACTTGGTTTGTTTGTGTAATTTGTCTCTCCCTGATGGCTATCCTTACCCCTATCCACACACCAGGGCCATGGATTATATTTTATCCTCTCATTATATCTAGTGCCTAGTATTGTGTCTGGAATATAAATTTAGTAAATGTGGAGAATAACAACACTAATGGCTGCTATTTATCAATTACCTTTAAATATAAGAGGCACTTTAATAAGTACTTTACATCTTTTACTTCTAATTCTCATATCAATACAAAATAAAGATATTTTTCTCAATTATGGATGAAGACATTAAAGCTCACAGAGGTTAAATAACTTGCACAAGATCACACAGCTAGTTTAGTGGAAGAGCCAAGATTAGAATTTGGAAGAAGAATGGAAGAAAATACTGGATACAATCTTGTTTACATCTTATAATTGCAAATTTGGTTTGTCTCATCTTTTAAATTACGTAACATTTGCCAGAAATTTTATTGGAAATTTCCAGAAAACAGAACACACTAATAATTCTAGGGAAGTATCTTATGTTTCAGTAAGTCTTGTATTAATTAAGATTTAGCTTCACAATATATA